ATCAGCCAGCACATGCAAAATATATGAGATATCAAAATTCATGTATTAAATGAACTCTCTGTTTAATTCATTAGGGCTATTTACAATAATTTTGAATTATCCTTCAGGCGTGTTCATCTGAGCATAACGCTTTCGTTATCAATACGTAGCTCTTTGGTGAATGAGATGTGTTACGTGTAAACAGGGAAAATGTCTGTTATAAAATCCAAACCGGTGATATAATTTGAGCGGTGACTGAAATTCCAGCTTAGTTAGGTCGGAACTGCTGTAGTCGACATACACCTGCAGTCATGTCAAAAATGGTATACATCCATATTGTGTGACCCTTAACACTCCATCTATTCTCAACTCTCCACGACTTGTATCTTATCAGGTGTGACTAGAATTCATTACAAAAGATTATAAAAAGCATTACTACTATTATTCCCAATATCTCACCAACTTTTGGTTTGTAGAAAAGTTTTTCTAAAGATTACCAATTACATAACTTAACCTAAGACATCGAAAATCCGATAATGTGAGCAATATCTTCACAAGCTTCCACAGAACTAATCGTCAGTCAGTGGAGTAAATGAAGTAAAACTTTCCAGATTAATCTTTATTATTTATGGCATATTTAAACGGATTAAATATCACACTCATCGGCTTACATGTTAAGTGAAGGCTTCATTTTATCCATCAGTATTTCTGTCACCCCTTTGTCTTGGAAAGTGAGTTTTGTTGACGCGGGCTAACGAAGATAAAACCTTTAACTTCACAATTATTAGTCAGCGGTTGAAAACATGATGAATACACTGACAATAACTGACTCTTTGTCTCACTGAATGAAGAGAGAGCTCAGTTTCCTATTCATATGAGCCTCATATTCCAGGTGAGCTAATGACACCTATGAATCGATTTCTTAATACCAAATGTTAAATATTATATTCATTACAGAACACTAGGACCTTGACTAATTAAGATTCCTATCCAACAATATACTGTATACTTTTGAGTGCCTTTCATGAAAATAAACAACAATTACTGTCCAAATTTTTATTTCACAAAGATACTCTATGGTAGTGACGATCAGAATAAGTTCCAGGTAGTTTTAGAATCACACACTGTCTGTAAAAGAGTTTTGTTTAATAAATATTTCGATAACTAAATATCTAATTCTCAGGGACAGTACACGATTTCATTTGCAATTTACGTTTTGATGTCAACATTAGGAAAATATTTTAACGCTGATACTTGATTCCTATAGTTCGAATCCTTTGTCTCCTTTTGTAGTTAAGGGCACAACGAATGGTTACCAGTAATTTAAGCATACTTACAACACTATCAATAAATTGAACTGGTTGATAACGTTATCGATTCAAGTAAAAGAAGGTGAGAATATTGAGTTTTGTGGTTAGAATACCGACCGAAAACAGCACGCAATTCAGGGTAGAGGCTATGACTGACCAATTTATTTTCTATTGATACAATGAAAGAGGGTAGCAGCAAAAATAACAACTGCTGTCCGGTAATGAAATACATTCTTGAAATAGAAAACGTCTACAAAATTCACTTTCTTGTTAGTAAATAAACGAGAAAACCTGAGGGGAACTTAGGACTTTCACTCCACAAGAAAAGCCATTTCGAAGGGTAAATTAAAGGTAAAGCAACTTAATCAAATCCCTTATCACTCGGATCCAACAAATCTGTGGTCTTGACGCCCTTGAATCAGAACTAGATATTCTGAAAGAAACTTTCATTCAAACTGAGCACTCATCAAGGTTCATTGACAAGAGTACAAGAAGAAAAGTTCAGAGAAACATAACATTAACTGTTTTAAAAATATGAAAGTATGCGTAAACCTGGATTTCGAAGCGGACTTATGCCGAGGCACACTTGAGACAAGAATTTCACTATTTTTGAAAGCATTCTTTGCAGCATTGTTAATAATGCTTTTCTGAAGTCCTCCATAAGTCTTGAGGACAAAACCTCTCTTCCAACAACATCCTCGTGCATATATCGGTTTACCTATCCCTATAGAGCCACGTTTATCCGTCGCTTGATATGTGTGTCTTGTATAAGAGTGTTCGGCATCCCTTTCCCGCATGATTGCAGGAAGCCGATGGTGTCTATTTAAGGAATCCGACAATCGAACACCTTGACAACACTGGTCTCAACAAACGCCTCCTTCGAAGTAATAATATTAATAATAACAGCATTATTCCAAACAGTATTTGTGGTACAGGTATGGAATTTTCAGCGTGCATTACAGTATATTGCATCTAATTACCTCATAAATTATATAAGATTTTTTTAAAAATCAAAGATAAATAAAAATAAAATAAATAAGTTATAAATAAATAAAATAAATAAATATTAAAAATTAAGAAAAAAACAACGTAGAGTATTTCATTTCAAACAATGCAACACAGGATTTGAAATATAAAGTTGATGTGTGGTAGTAGATGAGAACAACAGTGAAGTAGTAACGAGGAAAGGAAAAGAAAACCTAATGAGACTATTTGTTAGAGTGCTGCAGTAAGTTAATCGTGTCATACCTAACGGATTTCTCATCACATAACAGCTGTGCCAAATATGCTATTGTGGACTTTTTGTATTTGGTAGTCCTAGCATATAGCCTCCTATAGCTGCTTCTAGTTCTTCGAGATGAAATGCAAGGAGATAGATGCGTATAGAGAGGATGTTCGGGGTCCGACAATATTGTATTCGCTAGTTCCTTACATGACATAATATGTCTATCTAAATTGTGTTCACCAGTTGGTTTAACGATATCCCACTTGCCCTACTAACAGCTTTTAGTGCCCTTCTCAATGAAGCAAAGTAATCTACAATTTGAGGAAGAAAATTTTGACAACGGAAGTATGCTTTTGTCTCCTTTGTATTGCTGAAGATTTAGCCATTCAAAAGAAAATACCTGGAGATATGCATAAAAAAGAGTGTAACAGTCTCATAGATTTCTATTGATTTATTTTTGTTGGATTATTTTTTTATAACTCCTTACAACTCATGTACTTCTTCAGAACTATTACATTCTTTAGTGAATGCATTCATATGTATGTGCATCCTGATCATAACACATTTACCAAACTACTTACTTTACGAGGTAACTCTAATACAATAATTTAAAATCCTCTTATGCACCGGCTAATATTAACAGATATGTGTGTAGAAACTTATAACTTTACTTACTACCTTAATTCATAGGGAAAAAAGTGTATATAATTCGGAATTTAAGCTCAAGTGTGGACGATTTATTTTCCCTTACATTGAGCTGAATATGTCACTTTCGGACAGTAGCAAGATTCTCCGCAAGGATCCGTCTTACTCTTCATATACTTATTGAATTTATTTAAACAGAGTGGAATGTGAATCAGTTTTAAAAGATGTCGAACTAACTGTTCCAGTTTGAGAATAGTTCAACTGTGTTGAACTCATAAAATGCACATATTCTCTACGGTTGTAAAATATTCTTCCAAACATATGTCAACTTCTTTTCAAATTGCGATTGTTTCAAGCCACCATTTCTGACGTTATTTGCTACAAAAACCACATCGTGGCTGATACATCTTGGTCATATTAACCTACATGATGAGTCACACTTGCTAAAAATCAATTTTAAATTCTAAACTTTCTATTCTCTTTCTATTTCGTTGACTTTTATTATCTGCATACAACCTATAATCTTTGATAAGTGTAAGTCAGCGTAAATTTTAACACACTTTTTGATGTGGTTTTGTTCTCTGAGCTGGATGGTCAGTTTGCGAAGCTTTCATCACCCTACTGGGTGACATCTTCAGCGCGTACTTCAATTTGAAGTGAGCTTTTAGATTTCTACACGAGTTTATTAATCATCCCTCCTGGTGGGTTACCTTGGACGTGATTGGTTGTCTTTGTGTGTTTTCACACCTTCTAGGTTACTTGTATTGGAACTGATTGTCTCTTTGACTTGAACTTTAACCCTTTGTGTGTGAAGTTTCTTTCTTATTGGTTGATAAATTTTGTCTATCCCTATGCGTCTCTTGATTGATGATCCACTGGAATGCCAAGCTTCTAAAAATTCTCTAGCTTTCTTGTTATTTCCTTTGTCTAATATTTGAACGTCGTCCCAGTCGAATTGATGTCCGTGGTTGTCTGTATGTGGTGATATGAGGTAGTGGATGTCATGTCTTTTGACGGCTAGCTTATGTTCGTGGATACGAGGACGAAGGGGACGTCCACTTTGGCCAATGTAGTGTTTTTCGCAGTTGTTACAATTTATTTTGTAGATGATGTTGGTTTTATCTTCTTTCGCTGTTGAGTCTTTTGGTTGACATAGAATTGAGTGAAGCGACTTTGTTGGTTTGTGTACGACGTCAATTCCTAAAGGTTTGAAGAGTCTTGTAGTGATTTCTGAGATATCCTTTATATATGGTACGGCAATTTTCTTTGTGCTTTCCTTGGTGGCTTCTGGTTTGGTAGGTTGGCTTGGGGGTATATGTCTCTTGATGAAATTCCGTGGATATCCATTCTTTTGGAAGACGTCTATGAGATATTTTTCTTCAATTTTCCCTAAGGTGGAATTGCTTCGCAAATTAACCATCCAGCTTAGAGAACAAAACCAATTCAAAATCATCCACCTGAGCTACAAATCCTCTCTATCATATCTAACATACTTTTGTCTATCAACAAGTATACCATGGACGTATCATCGTGAGATGAAACATCAAATTGTATGCATCTGATAAAAGTCAGCGGAATAAAATGGCCTAGTGTTATACCACACCAATGTTTTTGCTTTCTTTGGTCAAATTTATCAAAAGAGAATTCTTGTGGGAAATTACTATTCTCTCTGTTAACACCGGAATATGACCTTGATATATGGTAGCTACCGTAAAACCTCAATGGCAAGCAGTTTCTTTTCATCAGTATAAAACAACTCCCAATAAAAAAAAAATTCGTTAGTCTAAATAAAACAGATAAATTTATTAACACTTATTAATAAGATTACATTAAATTCTTAGTTATATACCTTGAGTATCTGAGGTCTTGACTTGATTACGAACGGAACTTTCAAAAGCATCAATCGATTTGCAAACAAAACAGTTAAACTTTTTCAATAAGACTTGACGAAACTTTTGAATGAGTACAGTATACAAGAGTATATTCAGTGAGGATTGAAGAAATATCAAAATCCATCCAATATTCATAGTCAGTAATATTACACGAACAAATTCTACCGGAATAATACTTCTCTGACTGTCGACTGTGTTTGTGAGAAGTAGAGAGACTGCATAGGGCAATGCAAACAATAATACAGTAATATGTAAAACAAGCAGAGTAATTGTTGATAAAATATTTTTCATCTCCGATGATTGTGTACCAGCTAACTGATGACGACCACGTGACCATTTAATCACTTTCACTACAAAGAACACATCAATTATTGTCACTAGGGCAAGCTGTGCAAAACAGGTGTCAGAGAATAAACTTTTATAGAATAACAATGGAACATTATTTTCAGTGAACCAACATGCGTTAAGATTGAAAACCTTCACAAGATCAGTGCCTAACACAATGGGCAAAGTCATTAGGTTGGTAATTAAGACGATAGCAAGTACAGGGATCCATTCAGGGGATTTGGAGAATTTGTTATACAATAAAGGTTTATAAATTAAAACACACCGATCAATAGCCATGAGTAAGAAAACATTTCCACGTAGGATGCAGAAAAGCGCTTGGAAGTAGGTTGACAGTCTACAGCTTATGCTTGATCTTATCACAGTGAAATAATAAATCCTTCCTGAGGATGCATATGGCAGTCCAAAGGCTGGAAACAACCATGTCCAACCAACGCTGATTACTATACCGATGTCTGATAAAGCCAGTACTCCAAAAAGTGTGAATTGCCGGTTGTTTCTATGCAATGAATAGAGGAATACAACAGCCACAATGATATTCATGATTAAATCAAATAACCCAACGAATGGGAAAATATACGCTAAAAATATTCCCATAGTTCTTGACACGTCACAGAGAAATTGACTAGCATTCGGATATCCTTGCTCGACCATCATACAATCTATGAGTGTATCCAGAGGAGTATAGAAATCCGTCCTGTTCACCATTAGATCCATGTTAAACTGTTATTCTTGAGTATTTTCAAAATTAATCCCCTTTTTATAAGATTTTTCCTGGAAACACATGGGTGGAACTTTATATGCTTAAAAGCAAAGTCTTATTCAACAGATGCACGATTTATCTGGTAGATTATTTAGGTTAGCGGTTAATATTATTGAAAATTCCGCCCGAGCTATTTATTATAATACACTGACCTAATATATCAGATAAGAGTAAAATGCAACCGCAGATTGTGCCTGTGACTAAGGACACCAGGTTCGGAAATTTGAACTACTTTCTGTCTTTATTATGTCCATTGTTAATACAAGCCAATTCCGACTATTGTTACATTTATACTATTAATTATAATAATTCATGTTTCTATTTAATTTTATTCAATTAATTCACTTCTAGAGAACCTAAATATCTTTATCCATCACGTAATATGCTGAAGTATTTATATGCGGAAACTATTATGTTTAACTATACGTGAAGTTGAAATAGGGACGCCCAGTTAGACACAGGACACGATCACGCAAACTGCTGGTCAACGCCAACACCACGCACTGTAGTGAACCGGTCTCTCAGCCTGTCACTTAAATAACAGAAAATAAAAGATGAATCAGAAATTAACAGTATATTTACAAGAGGGAACAACGATATATATATATATATATATGACCGACATCGTAGACTTGAGGGATGTCCAGCATAAAGATGTATAACCATCTTTGGTTCATTTTCAGACCAATCTTTATCTTCATATCTCCTCTCCCAAGAAACATATACGCATGGAAGCGAAATATGTGTAGTCTTTTGCAACGGCAGCAACGTCTCTTTTCTGACTTCTGGATTCTTTTGCCTGGTGTTGGACAGACTAGCGATAACTGGAAAAATGAAGTAGATTTAGTAGTTGCTTGTGTTTTAGAGACGTGGTATATCGATGTCGTACCTGGTTTCGTGTCCTATCCACCTTCCTTCTGTATTTTAAACCCAGTACATACGGGTCCCATGCTGACATTCTATCAGACGATCGGTCCATTTTCTTTATTCCGGTGGATAATTGAGCGCTTAGATGGAGTCCTCCACATATTACACTTTTCCGATGAGATGGTGATGGCAACATCGATTGACGGTATTTTGGTACCATTCATTATTTCAACAGTTTTACGAAACATTTCTTCTGTTTTTCCGATGATAATCCGAATAATATGCAAAAAAGAAGTTTTGTTTGATCTTTCCGCAATCAATAAATCTCTCCTGAAGGTGTCTGCAAATCTCTCTTTAGCTTAACACTGTTTACAGTAGATGAATAAATATTTCATATTAGCATCCATATTTGGCCACTATGCATAATTTCTGGCGACCGACTGCATCCGTGTAATGTCAGGATATGCGTTTTAAAAATAGTTTTCAAATGGAGTTCACCAGGTCTTACGTAACGAACTAAAGGTACACTTCTCTTCTTCTTTTTCTAACCATGCCGGCTAGTATTTACAAACGACCATATGATACAGCAGGATCGATTAGACTGGTATGTACACTTTCATTCACTCCTAAGAAAGAGCTTATTTTACGCATGCTGCTGAAATACTTTATTGCTGGAAAGTGTATTTCAAAGACTGGTGGCGAAATATTTTACTGAGAGATTCTGTAAACCGTTTTTTGGTAATACACGTTTCATATTACCATGCGCAACATAGGGCTTGAAGCTAAAGGCTTGAGTTTTCTGTAGCAGTGTTTATACTTACAGGATGAGGTTGCTAGCCTTATGCCCAACCTTTCCTCTTTAGCGAATTTTATTACTGGTTTGGCGAGGTAAAGGAATGTGTCGGTCGAGGATCAAACCCCGAACCAAGTAATCCAAAAAAATAAACTTTCTTTTCAATGACTTCATTTACAAGCTGTACAGTTGCATTTATATTACAGAAAAAAGTTATCAAGTGGCACTAAATAAATGCTCAGTCAATAAACATATATACGTGATAAGAATAACGATAATTAAAATGTTATAAGGCGTAGAGTTGAAGTGGATGAACTACAAAATTACTGGAGATTGTTTTATAAGTGAATTGAAGTCAAAGGTTTTTAAAAAATATCAAACGTTGTCTGAAAATTTTAAAAATTAGGAGTACGATTACTATAAGAATGAAGATGTGAGGTGAAGTAGAAAGAATTCAAGTGGTAAAATAAAATTAAATTAAAACCGGAAAGAACATTACTATGACCAAGGTAAAGAAAGGGGTTTGACAAAACGCTTTAGAACACATAATTTAGGTTTCTGTTCATGTATAGCTAAAGCTTCGGCTATGCATAAGTGAAGAAAACGTAAACTATTGGATCGATTCGATTTTGCCATGTAGATAACTTTGCAAGATGAATCACGTGGGGATAAATGACCAGACTCTAACAGGTGATCACAAATAGACGACTTTGCAGTTCTACGTTCGCCTTTCATTAACCAAACCGGATAGTGTTCAGCTACACGTTTTCGGAGATTACGCTTACAATGTCCAATATAAACAGCTCCACAAGAGCAGGTAAAAGAGTAAATGTATATAGATGTGGACGAAAGGGGTGATCTATCCTTCACGCATTGTGTAGTCATATTTCGGCTAGTAAAAACTAGTTGCAAGTCAGCTGCATGAAAAGAGCGTTTAATACATTTAGATAAACGATTTTTAATCAATTCAGAAATGGTGTCACCTTTAAATGGTGCGTCGGTGGCCCAGTGGTTAGGACTCTCGCCGACCATGCACATGGTCCGAGGTTCGATCCCCTGCCGACGCACACCTGATATCTATGGTCGGCCTGGGAAATTTGGGCTACCGATATCCATGCTGAAAATTCCATACTTGTACCAAAAATACAGTGTGGAATCAAGCTGTAACCAAAATAAATAAATAAAAATAAAAAATAAAAAAATAAATAAAATAAATGCCAGACTCATAAACAGTTTTTCCTTTGGAACTGTGATTTGTTTAGAGGTGGATTCTTTCTTGATGTTACGTTCAATAAACCTAGTAGGATAACCACTGTTAAGGAGGTTTGATCGAAACTTATCTAGTTCCCTGTCAATTGTCTCAGCAGAGCAGATTTTATGAACTCTTGAGCACAAGAAATGAATAAGATTTCTCTTTCTCCCTTAAGGTGCCCAACTGTTGAAGTTAGTGTACTGCCCAGTGAATATTGGCTTTCGGTAAATCGACCTTAACAGCGTTCCATTCTCTCTTCTATCTAACTTAACATCAAGGAGATGAAACGAGGAATTCGACTCTTCTTTGACCGTGAAAAGCAAAGTTGGGTGACAACTATTAAATATTCTAAAGAGTTCGGCAGTTGAAGAGTTTTCATCACATACAATGAAGGTATCATTTAGATATGTTTTATACATAAACACACTCGATAGTTTCCTTTAGTGAGCCGTTCTCTAAGCTTGCCATGAAGACATCCGCTAAGAGCTGTCCTAAAGGAGACCCCATGGCGACCCCGTCTCTTTGATTGTAGATGACTTCAATAAATCTAAACTGCACATTCAGTGTGCATCTCAGTAATAGTTGTTTCAGATATTCAGTTGGTAAGCCAGTGTTCATGCTATTTAAATCAATATACTCGCGTAGATACCAGAAAGTGTCTACTAGTGGTACATTTGTTGACAATGAATAAACAACTAATTTTTAAAATTTTCAGACAACGCTTAACATTTTTTTAAAAACTTTTGATATCGATTCACTTATAAAACAATCTCCAGTAATTTTGTAGTTCATCCACTTCAACTCTACGCCTTATAACATTTTAATTATCGTTATTCGTATCACATATATAGGTAAATTGACTGAGCAACTATCTAGTGCCACTTAATAACCACCTTTTTCTGTAATTTAAATACAACTGTACAGCTTGAAAATTTAAGTCGTTGAAAAGAAATTCCTTTGCTGAACAATGAAAACTCCATTTTTACTTGTGAAAAGGTGTTATAACTGCACTGAATTAAGGTAAAACCCCGTCGCCAATTGTTATAACTGTAGGGAATTGAATGAAGACGTTTTCACCTTATTCTGTCTGCACCTGAACTAATCTGTCTATCTGCTCGTCGTACCTTCCGACTTAGTAAAGCACGCAAATATCAAAAGACAAAGGCTGGACTGTGACTGTGTATTGAGGTGCAACAACGATAAAGAAAGCCATGGTATTTATACATTTTACAACAATATGGACAGCTAACAGCATTTGAAATAATTTATCTTAATAGCCAATAACAAAGTGCGTGAGAGATGATAATATACCATATGTGCGAGGTTGACAGTCAGTAACAAAATGTGTGGGAATGATAATATACCATATATACAAAATTAGCAGTCACTACCAAAATGTGTGAGAATGATAACATACCATATATGCAAGTTTAAACAGTCAATACCAAAATATGTGGGATCCTATCACCTCCCCCCGTAAAGAGTGTAGGACTTGCTTTTTGGATCTATTTGAAAAGGTTTCGGAGCTCTTCTTTGTCGAGTTGACCTTTGCGTGGTACTGGATAGAGCGTGATCTGTGTGTCTGACACATAACTGTCCTTTTTCATTCGTACGATAATGCAGCAAGAATTTATCCAAAATTTTTTCTGTTGTTCCCTCCCCCTTCGCTTTTGCATAAGCACGCTTAAAGGTGTCGACGAAACGTTCAGTCTGTCCATTCGATTGGGGATGATACGGGGGGCTACGAATATGCTGGATGCCAAACAGTTTGCAGAAATCTGAGAACAGTGATGAGGTGAACTGCGATCCATTATCGGACACCAGAACATCAGGCATACCAAAACGACAGAATAGTTGACGTAGGTGGGACACTGTTGCAATTGATGTGGCAGAATGCATAGGAAATATCTCTGGCCATTTGGAAAACGCGTCGACACATATTAAGAAATGCATACTATTGAACGGTCCAGCGAAGTCAACATGAACACGGGACCATGGTTTGTCCGGTCGTGGCCAGGAACATAGTTCTGTCTTGCGTGGACACTTTGATGCTTGAGCACATTTACTACACTTGCGAACGAGGTCTTCGATATGGTCATCGATGTTGGGCCAGTAAACATAACTGCGAGCGATCGCCTTCATTCTCCCAACACCAGGATGTGATATATGAAGCTGCCGAAGCACATGGTCACGAAGATTAGCTGGAACCACAACACGATCAGCAAACATTATGCATCCATTAACGATGGATAGGGATTGGCGTCGCTGGTAAAACTGTTTTAAAACATTTGAATGAACATGTGGAGGCCAGCCAAATCGGATGAACTTTGATACTTGCTGTAAAACTGGATCACGCAGTGTGTGTCTGGCAACCTCAACTGCAGTCACCGGAAGATCGTCCAGAGAGATAGACATTATAATTGGGTTGTAATTTACACAGTCAAAAATGTTATATAGTTGCGCTGAACAGAATAAAAACTGTCGTCGTTGCGTGCTATAACTGCGATGAATTAAAGTAAAACCCCGTCGCCAATTGTTATAACTGTAGGGAATTGAATGAAGACGTTTTCACCTTATTCTGTCTGCGCCTGAACTAATCTGTCTATCTGCTCGTCGTACCTTCCGACTTAGTAAAGCACGCAAATATCAAAAGACAAAGGCTGGACTGTGACTGTGTATTGAGGTGCAACAACGATAAAGAAAGCCATGGTATTTATACATTTTACAACAATATGGACAGCTAACAGCATTTGAAATAATTTATCTTAATAGCCAATAACAAAGTGCGTGAGAGATGATAATATACCATATGTGCGAGGTTGACAGTCAGTAACAAAATGTGTGGGAATGATAATATACCATATATACAAAATTAGCAGTCACTACCAAAATGTGTGAGAATGATAATATACCATATATGCAAGTTTAAACAGTCAATACCAAAATGTGTGAGAATGATAACATACCATATATGCAAGTTTAAACAGTCAATACCAAAATATGTGGGATCCTATCAAAAAGGGAACTCACGGTATACTTCAGAGAAGTGAAGGCAAGCTGACTGCCTTCCTCCGATGATTTTCTTGATTTCAGTAAATTGGATAATGAGACAGACAGAAGGCAGAGAGGAAACAGGCATAAAATGAATGCACACAAAATACCCGCGAAGATATGGAGTTCGCCGATGATATATGTCTGACTTTCCACAAACTGGATGATATGTAAGTGAAAGGCAGCAAGCTGGCGATAGAAGAAGCATCCACATAAGATAGGAGTTCAGGTAAACATAGACAAAACAGAGGTGATGAAGATTCCTGACCAACGCCAACAGCCACAACAACAGACAACAGTCATCCAGCATAAATGGGAGGAATCTGAAAGAAGCAACCTCTTTCACCTACCTAACTACCTGGGAAGCATCGTTTCAACTACACGTGGACAGAACTGATGAAGATATGAGGACGAGGATCGGGATAGCAACGCAAGCTTTGATTACTCTCAGATCTGTGTGGAGATCAACAGCGATTTGCATGAAATAAAGTAAGATCCGAATTTCCAGCTCCAATGTGAAGTCAGCGCTACTATGCAAATCAGAGACATGGCACATCACGGAAGGCGCTTCAAACAAACTTCAGACTTTCATCAACAGCTGTCTTCGCTCAATACTACTTTAGAACATATGATCAGCCAGATAGCATCCGCAACAGTAATCTCTGGCAATGAACAGTCAACCAGTCCAGCAGGAACCACGTGTGCGACAAATATGCAAGACGAAATGCAGATAGATTGGATTAGCCATGCTCTGAAAAAACAAACCATCAAGTAAGTGATATCACATGCCAGTCTGTCTCTCTCTCTATAGTCGAACCTGAATGGGAAGCGGCGAATTAGTTGGTCAGTGCGAGGGTGACATGCAGGTAGTCGTGGGAAGAGGATATAAAAGCATGTGGCCAAACGTGGAGTCAAATAATGAAAACGTTGGTGGAGAACCAAACACAATGAAGACGTGCAAATGAATCCCTGTGTTCAACTAGGAACTAAAAGAATTAACAACAGTGCCCAAGTTCCTCTAGTAAATTAGGAAAATATCTCGTGCAACAATAACTTTTAATTCTAGATTCAGCAATGGAATCACTTTTTTATTTGGCTGAAAGATCACTTTCCATCACGGTCTATCAACACTCTCCAGTCCTCTATCCGTACGCTTTTTAGATCCTTGAGAAGAGGGAATGAAATGCTTGTTTTTACTAGAGGAAAAAAGAGACTGTAAATTGTGTAAAACTACCCTTATATATATACGGTTATTGTCAAATGATCAAATTTTTGAAATCTCACCTTTTCTCCGCTGATGAATGTCAAGGAAATGAAACACTAAGTGAACACTACTCGAACTTAAGAGTTCATTTTTAAGTAATAACAGTGTCGTTACTGTGTCTTATACACAAATGAAGCTCAATCCTTATTTCTGCAAAACAACAATAAGCGCAGTTTTTCTGAATCGCGTAATGCATTCTTTTCAAAAAAAATCTGATTACCCATCGACTTGATATAGGAATGTAAATATGACAATAATAAATCAATAACAGGTGAGAGAACAGCCGTTGGTCAATTTACAAGAACCTACTGAAGGTCAAAATAACAATGGAAATGAATAAACCGAAGAAGAAAGTTAATAGTACATATGCTATTGTATAAAAACAAAATTTACAAATGTGGACTTAGTGTGATTACGAATTGTTTATTGAACACATAAATGAATTTCATAAACTTCAGGATATCCCTCAGACATGTCTTTAGATGGGTTTAAAAGATGTGTTGACGTTAGCTTTTTATCCTGTCTCTGTAGCATGTTCGGCTCTAGAAGAGTTAGGTCGCCTTTTACACCATTATTGGGTTCTGGGAATTCCATTTGTTTATGAAACCCGTACATCCAAGGAGTGACGGCTTCCTTCTGTGTACGTGTGACCACGTGTACATTTGAACTGATACATATAGTATGATATCACAACGTTTTCGAGATTTATAAGTACTTAGATGGATTCATAGGCTTCATATTCTGAATTATTCAGAACTCAACTGTGCGGAAATTCTGTTTTTGTCTAGCGACCAAGTTGCTATGGTCAACTACGTAGGGTAGCTTGGCATGTTTGTCCTTCCTGGAGACAAGTTGGAGAATGGATCTTAGTTTTCTGACCACCTTATATCTCCTTATGAACTTTTGCCTGAATATTTATTATCCAGCAGAGCTCCTGGCAGTTTCCCTTCCTCATCTTCAAGTGTATACTCAGTACAAACTAGCTGAATGCTACTAAAAGGCTACTAACCCACTATTTGATCTATTGTACCAGACAGAAGGCAAGCCGAGGTAATGAGGATACTGTCTTGTACAGATAGGTTCTTCTTCAGGCCGTCAACGAAGTAACATGTCTACGACTGCACTTCTGCACTTAATTCATCCCATCTAAACTTGAAGTGGCAGAAAAAGGTTTCTTGCTTATGATTAAAATGTAATCAACATATTTTCTATAGAGTGTTACACTCTCAATTAAATATAATCCGACAAATTTTCAATGAACGTCATACAGTTATTGCTGAAAAGAGCTTAAACAGACCAACCCTAGCAACACCATCAACCTTATGGGAACAATCACCTTCAAATATGAACCTAACATCATTAGCACACAGAGGCAAAAATAACCCTTTATATAAGAAAGAAGCAATGTGATTAAAAAATTATAAGTGGGCACGTAATCACGTAAAATTATCATGTGTTCTAAGTAAAGGCATCGTTAAGGGGATAATATTCTCTCAATCTGTGATAAAACAGATGGCAACAAGGGTCTTAAATGGGCGAACCTATCACAAAAAGATTTCTTAACCTGTAGATTTCGTTGTTACAATGCAGTGGAAAATAAAAGAATATCAAAATAAGTGCCGTAGAGACACTGGAACTCTATAACAATGTCGATACTCTGCGACTGCACGAAATCGCCCAAAACTAGTCAGTTTTCTTTTCAAATGTGTTAGTCTTTTGAAAACTAGGAATGTTTATTTGTCTTTCGTCTACTAGTGGTATGTGTTACGAATAAAGCCGACTGGTTGTTGTTTGGACGAAATATATCAATCTCTGCATTCTACTGGAGAGCCAACTAACACCTCCTTGAGAGACGCAGTCACAAAACGCTAAAAATAGACGGCAAAAAGACGATTATCCGTCAGTAGGTCTGTGGTTCTATTCAGGAATGATAAAATCAAAAACTCTTGATTGCCTTAATCCTGAAACCAGTTTGGAAGTTTTCTGCACTACACTCCATGACATAAAAAACAAGATTTAAATTTTCAACTGTATGGGTCAAAAACTTGTATTGCGTGCAATTCATGAAAAGATTTCCAGCACTCAAACAACTCTCACGCTTCATTTATATACTTAAGTGGAATTTATTAGACGTTTGAATAAAAAGAAATATAAGATAATGTAGATTCAAAAATAATAATATGAGTGCTATCAATCAAATACAATCAGATGGGAAATAAGACGAGTGTTTTTGTAGTAAAAATGAGTACCGCGTTAGAATGTTACGATGTATGTGAATTGGAACTGAATTTTAAGATTATTTATTATCCTCCTCTCATTTGATTGACTGATGGTAATAAAAGCTTCCATGCATATCTCTGGTATTTGCATTGATTCATTTCTTTTGCATGCGTTGTGTTGCGTGTAGACTGGATGAATAAGGATTCAGTAATCTCTCTCTCTCTCCATCTACCTGTATTATTCCTTAGAATTTTAGCCCTCTCCCACCTTACTGTGTGTGATTGTGTGTTAATGCACTCAGTGCAATCGCTGAGCTTTTTTCTAAATCACTTATCTTCTAGGGGTCACCCATACTTACCTTAACTAAATTTTTATCTTCCGATAATCTGACTACTCCGCCCGATCTACTAGATTGACCTATGTAGTTCGGTGAACCCTAACCCGCAGTCATTGCAGGGCATTATTTTGCTTAATTGGCTCCATCGGGTTATTTAGCCGACAGAGCTTGTCCTACCTGAGTAGGTTTGTGGGTTTGAATGCATTCGGGTGGCATAACCACGGAGAGAAGTATTGAAATTAGGGAAATAAACAGTAACAAGGAGCAAGTTAACACATAAATATTTTTTATTTTATTTTTTATTTTTTTTATTTTTGATTACAACTTGATTCCACACCGTATTTTCGGTACAAGTATGGAATTTTCAGCGTGGATGTCGGTAGCCGAAAATCCGCAGGCCGACCATAGATATCGGGTGTACGTCGGCGTGGGCTCGAACCCCGGACCATATGCATGGTAGGCGAGAGTCCTAACCACTGTGCCACCGACGCACGTACAAACGTCAGAACAGTGATCTACTGTCTAAAAGAAAAGCCAAATAAGTATGAATATAAGGAACACAAAATTCAGCGAAGAGGCTCTTTTCAACGAATTTATTATCAAACTGTACAGTCGTTTATATATATATATATATATATAGCTTTTAAGAAATTATATCCGGTGAGGGAATTAGGTCAAAATTGTCAATACATGAAATAATAATAGTAATAATAGTATGAAATGCAATTAAAATATTTGTGATTATAATCATAATTTATTATCAAGTGGCAAAATAAATAATGTCATATATAGAATAATACATAAGGTGTAGAGATTTTGGAATAGGGTACATAATTATAAGATTAGTAGACGAATATAAAATGTTACATAACATGGTGTGAAATTTGATCAGATTGAATTCAACATTGTAAAAATAAAATAATAAAAATTAATAATTTTAGGTTTTCAAATGACAAGTGGGTCAAGTGTAAAAGATTCAGAGAGAGAATAGTAATAATGATAATGATAATAATCGTAGTATTAAGGGAAAAATACACAGAATAACTAAATAAACAAAATAAATAAATGTCTATCCCTCTACGACCAACGTAGAAGGATGGATTTTATATACTTCTTTTGTAAACAAACGTCTGGCTTAAAGTCATGAATTGCCAAGGTTTCAGCTGTCTTTAGAAGTCAGTAATGAAGAAAACGTGGGAAAATAGGATGGATTCTATATATGATCTTGAAATCATGGTCGCGGTTAACAGAGTGACAGAAGTCGATCAGGTTTTTCAGAGTAGAGCTTCACACACATTTCCTTTCTCCCTTGTAAAACCACGCAGCTAGAATATGTTCTCGTATCCGTGTGAAAAGCGGCGTCCTCTGACTACACGGCCAATTTACCTTGTTCCACAGAATTAGGTGAACTGGTAGATGCACAGGGAGGCGGTCAGACGGGGAAGCTTATCTTTTACAGAGGTAGAGAACAACTGGAGGCTCGTGGAAGTCATATGTAATCCAGCTGCAGAGAACTTCTTACTAACTGATTTAGAGAGAAGATTTTTGAGCATATCTGAAGCTTGATCTCCTTTGAATTCCAAGTTCATGAATAAAGTTATCTTTGGAACTGAGTCGGTGACCAGTTTAGACTGCTTACCATTCATGTAGCTGTCAATAAATCGGTTAGGGTAACCGTTTTCTGTGAGTGTGTCTTTCAAGAGTTGAAGTTCTGAGTCAACGCAATCAGAACTACAAATTTTCCTTATCCTAAAGCAGAGCGAATGAATAAGGTTCCTTTTCCTGGAAATAAGCATAGTCAGTTGTCCGTTCCATGTACGTTTCCGGCTGATAGATCTTTTGAGAGATCTATCATTACTTTTGATAAGGCCCACATCAAGAAATAGAATACTTAGTTCGGATTCCTTTTCTATGGTGTAGTGTAAAGAAGGATGGCAGTTGTTGAAAGCAAACAAGATATCATCAAGAATTATGTTATTATCGTAGATAACGGTATTGTTGTGAGTAGATTGTTTACGCGGGATTTTCCCAAACAATTATTCCGTGACAGTATATTACATCTTCAAGTCAGTTTGACCTCCTACTTTTTATTTTAATTTTATTTTTATTCCAAAAATGTTTCTAAATCTTATTAATGAAAAGGTTTTGTAAAATTATTTTAAAAAAAATTAAAGCTTTCCTCAGTATGCTTAAATACTACCCCGTCGTGAATAACAATCACGAAAACAAAAATAATTTGCTAAAGTATGAGTAGTAGTGAATAAAATAAAATAATTTTTTTCTCCATAAACTTCTATCTTAGTAAATAAATAAATAAATTTGTATATGCCTTGCTTACTTGCTTATTAGGTAAATTTGTGGCACATGGTCTTTCATATCTGATAGGATGTGTTTGTCAGTATAATATGAAATGAACTCACCATAAAAGATTGTTCCCTTGAATTGAAAAGACAAAACCAAACAGCACGGACAAACAAACAAACAAAGAAAATTAAGTAGAGTAATGCTCATTAGCTGTTTTTTTTTATCAAAATGGCAACACACGCAATTTCTAGTGTATATATATATATGACAAAATATGGGGAGAACTGCTCCAAATGAGTTTAAAAATTAACTCTACAGATTTTTATACACCACTGGACACATTGATTGATTGTATACTGCTTGAACAAGGCCATCCAAATGCCAGTAAATTGGTATGTGAAGCGTCTAAAATCTTTGGGAATATATTAGCATATGCATTTCCATGTATTGGAGTGTTGAATTTAACTACAAATACAATTGTAGCTGTTATATTCCTGTATTCAATACATCAAAAGAATTTACAATTTTTATTTCTTGGACTACTTGCCCTATCAGATATTGGGATAACTATCATAATTGGTTGGTTGAGATTGTTTCCCACATATGGCCTACCGTTTGCATCTTCAGGCGGTGTATACTATTTCATTATGACTAGATCAAGTATCAGCTGTAAGCTGGTGACTTTTGCTCAGGCGTTTTGTTGTACTCTAAGAGGGAATATTTTATTGCTACTCGCTGTGATACGTTTCATATTAATGCATAGACCATTAGCCTACAATAGACTTTCCACCTATCCATCATGGATATTTATCACTGGAGTTGTGTTCATCACATTTCTAATGTCATTACCTATTGGAATTATTGTTGATATGACATTGGTTTTCAAGTTGTCAATGTGTTGGTTTACACAATTCGATGATATACTTATAGCCTATCAAGTGTTATTTTCAAATACGTGTATTGTACAACTATCGCTCACCTTATTTTTCAATGTATTTTTTGTCCTCAAAGTTGTTAAATGGACAAGTAGTCGGCGTCAAACGACTAGTACAAATTCTACAGAGAGTAAGAAAAATATTTCAACGACAATAACACTACTTGTCTTGCATACATTCACATTTCTATGTGCTTTACCTTGTGGAATTAGCTTTCTTTTGACGATTCTGTTTGATCCAACAAGCACTGATGTGTCAGTGGAATTTCTACGCCTAGTCGTTTTCATTTTAAACATAGGCTGGGTGATAATTTTCCTTCAGTCTTCATTGAATATATTATTATACACAGTAAGGATTAGTATATTTCGTCAAACTCTATGCAAGGTATTGAGAAATGTTTCAGTAAGAGCATCAAGTGTGAATAGAGTATCAGTGCAAAGATCATTTACATGACAGTGGTTATTCTTTATAGTATCGAATAACTGATCATATCCGCAATTACTTTGTTTATTCAATCGATTTTAAAAAGTGTAGATACAAGAAGGTGACCAACTGACATGGCACAACAAAACAGATGACATAATCAATATTGTATTCTTAATCCCATCTCGACTGTTTATTATGGGTTAGTAACTGAAAAATCTGCAAGCTCTATGGATTGCCAATGAACTATCAGAGGTCTGTTTCTTGTGTATATACATTTGTATAATATATACATATATATATATATATTGCGTTTTCTTTGACTTGTTGTTGGATCTTGGCATTGAAATTCAAATAAATGACATAAGATCTTAAAACAAGCAACCACGTTTAGTAAAACAATGCTTGATGGATTCATCAAATGTCCATAGGACTCATCAGCTGAATACTCTACATCCACGAATATATACATATATATGCATACTTTTGAAATTACATTACGAGATATAAGACTGGCTGTCTATGGAAGAAAATTGAAAGTTGAAGACATGTGGATAAAATTCAATTCATGCCATCGCAATCTCCGTTTCACATGAGAACACAAGGAAAACAATACTAATATACTCCTAGACGTTTCTCTAGCGAAAATGAATGATGGCACAATCGAAAGATCTATATTTAGAAAGTCTCCATGGACAGAACAGTACATGCATTTCAAGAGCTTTGTTCCATTCCAGTATAAAAAGAACTTAGTCAGAACACTGTTCAATAGAGCCAGGGAAAATTTGTTCCGACAGTACTATTGAACATGAAATAAAATCTCTGAAGGATATTTTATGTAAGAATGGATATCCTGAAAAGTTCACTAATAAATATTCTAAAGAAACTACCCCTTGTAAAACAATTCAAACAGTTCCATGGAAACCTGTCTATATCAGTTTGCCATTCAAAGGAGATGATACACAACAAGTAGTCAAACGAAGACTCGACAAAGCCATCAAGCGAACTTATTATGTTGGAAAACTTGTTTTCCTTGCCACCGCTAAGCGAGTGCTTCAACAACCTGGGAAAGATCAGTCGCCAATCCTCGACACTTCAAACTGCGTCTATCAATTTGAGTATGTTTGTGGAAGGAAGCAAATACTTAGGTCGTACAGAAAGGCGATTGTCTACTAGCACGATGGAGCATTAGCCAAAATGTTTGGGAACAACTGAATGCAAAGTGCCAAAAACCTTAATGACAAAACATCTGGTGGACTATGGACATGATATCGATGCTGTTAAGTCATTCATTATTGTCAGCAGACAAGGAAACACGAAGATGCTCGCAGTTGAAGAGGCTTGTGCACTTCGAGTTTATAAACCACGTCTCTGTGCAAAAAAGGAGATGGTCGTCACTCTGAATCTATCATGGTAATACGTTTTACTTATTATTCTACCTCTTATTATTATTATCATTAAAATTATTCTTCATTCATTTAAAATTATCCTTTATCAGTAGCATTATCTGAACTCATCTCACTATTATTATAACTATTACTGTTGATATTACTCTGTTTACAATTATTGATATATTATCCAATGACTAATCATTTATCTAAGTGATGTAATTGAAGCGTGATGCAATTTATCTTAGTTTTGATTTCTCATGCTCTCTCTCCTTTTATCTATTTGAACATGACCTGGAAAGCATTCGCACGTGCCTTTCTGCATGACTAATTCAATGTAGTTTGTTTACTTATCAGTCTTATATCTCCCAATGTAATTTCAAAAGTATATATATATCTGTGTATGTAGAGTATTCAGCTGACGGAGAGTTCTACCGAAATTTGATAAATTCATTAAATCCTGTTTTATTAACCTTTGTTGCTTGTTTTAAATACTTATCAGGAAATAAATGTTTTCAACATAAGATCTTGTTAGCTTGTTTTTGATATCAAGTTCTTCTGATGTACAACAGTGATCTCACTTAAAATTTGACTACCCACTGAAATAGAGCAGTAACAAAAGTAATAAGGTGTCGTAATCACAGCTGTAATTATCAGTTAATGCATAAAAAGAGTTGACTAAGTGTATTATAGCTATGCAATGAGATGAAGACTTCGACAAAATGAGTTGTGATCATGATACACATAAAAATGTAGGAAAATATGGAATTATGTGAGAATTCTAGAGAAATAGAAAAATTATAAGGAATTAGGAAAACAGTAGTTGTTTGCATTTATAGCTCTGCTTTCTCTAACTGAATAACTAAAGCTTCAACTGTACAAAGAAGAAAAAAGTGCATTGCCTTTGACCGATTGTTCTTCACCGTGTCAATTACTTTCAAGGAGACATTTCATGAGACAGAAGAACCGCTTTCACCTCCTTAAAGAAGCACTAGAACCTTTTTGTAGTTATTTGAGATAGTTCAATTATGAGTGAAATTTGTTTTGATAAAGTCTCACAGTGTTATACAGTAATATTTACTGATGACGTTTCGAGCACGTCATCAGTAAATATTTCTGTTCCCTATCTAAGCTTCTCAAATGATCCAAAGCAGTTTGTTTACTAACAGGGTAGAAGTACTTTAGACACTGCCGCGTTTCATCACAACATTGTATCCTCCTCAAACAAAGGGGCCAAGTATGTCCGTTGTACGTTCCTTGATTACTCATCTGCTTTCGACTCTGTACCTAGAGGCCTTTTGTTAAACAAGCTTAGCCTTACGCAAACTGAGTCCTGGGCTTTCAACTGGCTGCACTCTTACTTCTCTAATAGGATGCTGTACACGGTATATAATGGTGTAGCTTCCTCTCCTTTGCTTACTGAAGCTGGTGTTCCTCAGGGTGCTGTTCACTCTCCGTTTCTCTTTTCCTTCTTCTTACATGACTTACCTCTCTCAGACGAAATCAACTACATCAGATATGCAGATGACCTGACTGTTTCGCTTCCTGTTAAGTCTCAGTCAGACTGCTTCAAATTAAATAGCTTCCTGTCGGACATCAGTCAGTGGTCTCAACTGAATGGCCTAACGCTGAATCCCTCAAAATGCCAGACTGTCGACTTCTCCTTTAGGCATAAACGAGATCTACAAACACTAGTAAGCACTCATGAAGCTTGTAGCATTGAGGGGACTATAATTGAAACAAAGTCTAATGCAAAATACCTCGGACTAGTTCTAACTTCCGACCTTACATCGTCATCTCATATCCTAACGACTTCTAAGAAAGTGTTTCGTCTAACCTACTACATTAAGAAACTCAGACTAACTGGAATCAATCAACCTATGCTTTTACAATTTACCAACTCTCGTATCCTACCTATTCTACTTTACTGCTCCACGTTAGTCTTTCTTGGGTTACTGAAAAAGGACTATACCATCCTGAGAAGGATGTTGAAGGTAGTTAGTAGACTAGTGGTGTAAAACTCAGTCAGCTCGTCACTACATTAGTAGAAAGGCATCTGAATACATGCGGAAAATGGTCTAAAACCATACTCTTCGACCCACAACACCCCCTCTCTTCCCAAATCTCTCCTTGCATCTAATCAGGTAGAACCAGATGTCAGTACAAAATAATATATGCTCGTACAACCAAGTATAGGAACTCAAGCATACCATATTTGGCCCGTGTTCTAAGTGACAGAGACAATGTTAAGAGTGAAACCTATGACTTGCTTTGTTGTTAATAACATAATTTTGGCCCCTTTATCTCTCCCTTATTCTCTCTTATATGTATTCTATAGCGAAAACCTTCTTAAACATACTTAGCTACCTAAAATCATTATCATAGGCTTAATTTTTTATTCTTTATTCTATTCCTTCTTTTGTGTATCTACTGGTCCCGACTATATTAGTACTATGAGTATTAGAAAATTGTCCTGTCATTAACCATCATGTATTATTAGTATTGTCATTGTTCTTTTTTGTTCGGCAATATCAAACTGACATTCCTGGTTGTGAACGCCGTTATCACCATCCAAACATTTTTGTCTTATGATTGTTTAGTGTAGTTCAATCAAATTAACTGATCATCTTGGCTATAAACATTCATAAGGACATCTCATCTTGTTTGATTATAGCTGTTACTGTTCCCCACGCATACACATATCATAGCTTCAAATACCCAATAGTGAAATATTATGTATTATAGTTGTTTATCTTCCTTACTACTTGGTATTTTTATTGGCATTTTATCTTATTTTTTGTGTTTTTTTTGGTTTTTGTTATGGTTTTCTTTAAATTTATTATTTTTTTCAGATGTAATATTGTAGATATGTGCTGAAAATTGCACACTGTACTACTAGTACTGTTTCTGGAATTAAGCAAATTATTATTATTATAAATACCTCCACCTGTTTCATTTCACACATTCGTTATCTCATTATGAACCTCTCATTCCAGTCTTACTATCTCCTGTTTAATACAAACGACCTTGTACTAACCACTCACTTGACACTTTTTATAACATTGAACTGACCTGCCAGTTTTCCCACCCCACACTCTCTGTGCGTCGGCGGCACAATGGTTAGGACTCTTGACGACCATGCACATGGTCCGGGGTTCGAGCCCACACCGGCGCACACCAGATATCTATGGTCGGCCTGCGAAACTTAGGCTACCGATATCCACGCTGAAAATTCCATACTTGTACCGAAAATACAGTGTGGAATCAAGCTGTTACCAAAAATAAAAAATTTTAAAAAAAATGAATAAAAATAAAATAAATCTATAATGATTAATCACCACCATTGTCTCCCGTTTTACAATATTTTCTAATCGATTTCAGTCTAGCACGACGTTTGTCACACAAATACGACTATTTATTTTGACACCCCATAATTAATCCGTTATTTTACAAATCGTGGAAAATATGCATTGGCACATTAGAGGGAAAAGAACAAGAAGTTCAGCTGAACTTCTAATCTGTTATTCTTGTTTAAAAACGGTATCTGCCGCATGACTGGCCATTATTATAACGACAAGAAATATTTCATCTTATAATTGTAAGCACCTGAACAGAAATTATTAAAATGAAGATTCTTCTTTCAGATTGACTTTTATTATTATTCCCTTAGGTTCCGAGTGAAATATAAGCCATTCGCAGCACATCTGCACTTTGTTCTGTTCACTGCAGTCCTCTTCTTCTAGCCCCATGATTGTTTATAGTCTTTTATTTCCTCCTCAGACCATCATCGCAATGTCATTCTCGAATGAGCTGCTCTCCATATCTTA